AGCTGGGAAAGCCAGAAGGCATCTTCATTATTAACAACAGCCAGCGTTCCAAGGTCACTGTCAGTCAGATCCTCATGGGCCGTCCCATGTGACCAATAATGCTTTTTGTAAGACAGGCGCCTTTCAGTGTTTTACTATCACCATATACAATAGATCACAATTTCTGATGGCTGTTCAACATGGGCATTTTTAAATGACACCTACACAATTATTGTCAATTAAGTAATTAAAACATCAATGTGTCCCATCTCCATTCTGCATGCCAATGAAATACACATGCTGCCATGACAACAAATGTGGGATGAAAAAAGTATATCTATCTATATCTAATCTAATACACTAATTAGTATTTAGTATAATACAAGTTTTGGAGGTAAGTGTACAATATATTACAATAGTATACTTTTGTATTGATAGGAGCTGTAACTGTTGAGCACTGAGATTATTTTCCTATTTAACATTTCACAAACAACAGGTAAAAGCACATTTTTCTGAAATAGTCTATATGTTTATGAGGATCATCGTATTTGCAGGCAGTGAAAAGAGTTTCCTTTTCATAAATACAATACAACTTTCAAGAATTTCCCAAACTGGCATCAATAAAAGTATATCTAATCTAATTTATTTATGAAACAACAGATACGACATTTGGACATAAAATACATAGAATCGTGAAGATACATATCGTTTTTAGTAATGTAAAACATAGGGTTACTATCAGTATGATGACCATGATACAGGGGAAGCAAGCAAATAGTTAAAAAAAAGGAAACGCATACAAATGTGATCTTTGATATTAGAAATGTCCACCTGTTTGGCAGTATTTCAGTGTTCACCTGTCAGATACAAACTAATAACGCACACCTGTAGTTTGTCCAATGATAACAACCTGATACTCTTCCTCTTGGTCTCTAATACTGTATGTTTTTTTTTTGGGTTGCTTTTATTCATGCCATATGTTAGTTGACCTGACACAAGTACAGTTCGCCCTCTGTGGGTTTTCCGTTACCACTCTCATAACACTAAAACATAAAAGTGGGGCACATCCCCCTGCCTGTGCTTCATGAAGGTGAAACTCCCACTACTCCTTTGTTTCTGTGTCCACTTTAAAGCCCAGGCTTGTGCTCAGTCATCTGGCGAGTCTTTCCTGTGCAATAAGCGAGCGTGTCAAAAGGTGACATAAACTTCCAGAAGTGTCGGTGGAGGGGGTGAGGGGAATGTGTGTTGAGGCATTTACTCGGGGTAAGTAGTATCAAGAGACTTTCTAGTGTAATTGTATAATATAAATACCCAACTGTTGCTGCCACATAAGTTACATCATGGAAAGAGTTGCATTTTAGGACAAATATTTTTCACAAATTCTTTTTCACTTATTTCAGATTAAACTGTCTGATAAAATGAGGGCGAGCTGAATGTTATGACTAGAAACAAGCAGACAGATAGCAATGATAAACATCATAGAAATGGAAGCAAAGAGAAAGAAATATAGTGACAGAAGGTGTTTGGAGCCCGCTCTTTATTGCCTATAGCCTGTGGGCAAGGCACCTACCATCCTCGCCTCGCCTGCAGCGTGTCTGGCTTTTTGTCTGGCTTTTACAGGAGAGTAGACACATTAGTTGCAAGGGTTGAGACGGTTCAGCGAGCTGAAGGTACTAGGTGACATGGTAGCATTGGGAGGGGGGGATATCCTTTTACAGTCTGGAAATAAAGCAGCACTGGACCCTTGTCAGTCATCTTATTGGGCCATTAGATGTCGAGGCCCCAGCAGCACCACTGAGGTCCAGCAGCAGACTGTAGACAGGCAGGCATAAATGTTTCCATTTGGTATTGAATTATCCCCCCTGACTGTACTGTAATGTTTGGCATTATTCAAAGGTTCATAAGCCTCAGCTTGTCCAAGCATTGCATATGATTATGGCAATAACTCGTTTTTTTTATTGACAAAGAGAACAGTAATTTCTCCTTAAATTGAATAGTTAAATTACATTTTGGATAATATGTTTATTATTTTTCTTGCTCAGAATTTGATGTTTAATGTAAATATGAAGCTACAACCAACAGCCTGTTAGCCAAGCTTAGCAAAAAGACAGGAATTAGCTAGCCTGGTATTGTAAAGTAACAAAATCCACCTTCAAGCTCTTCAAAAGCTCACTTATTAGATGCTACATACAGTATCTTACTTGTTTAGTTATACAAAATCTGAAGTGTGAGAACAACACATTGGCGTTTTCTGGGGGGGTTAGGTATAATAATAATAATAATAATAAATTATATTTATATAGCGCTTTTCTACAACTCAAAGACGCTTAATATAATGCTAATATAATAATAATAATAATAATATATAATATTAGTATTATAGGCCTTTTTGTTTGCTGGTTGCAGTGACCTCCTGTTTTCTCAGCTGACAGGAATCCTGAAAGTACGGAGCCCCTAAAGGGACATGGAAGAAAAAAAAAGAGAGAGAGAGAAAAAAAATAAAGTCAGGAAAACGGATTTGTTTCTCGTGCGCACGAGAAACAAATCCGTTTTCCTGACTTTATTTTATTTTTAGAAAGTTACCGATGCACCAAGGAGGAAGTGGAACACGAGACAACCCATTTCATTGCAGACTGTTATGTTTACGTGGGGAAATGACAGTGCATACATTATTTGAGATATATTTTGAAGTCAGACTTAATTTTATGGACATTTCGGCCAGGGGTGTAGAGCTATTGGTTTAAGCACCGGATTGATAAAACACTGGCGAGTCTGTAAACCAGTCTGCTTTGATCTATGAATTAATGTCCGTGACTCTCAGAGTACCTGCTGCCCGCAGCTGTTTCATAGGGAAACACACACACACACACACACACACACACACACACACACACACACACACACAACACACACACACACACACACACACACACACACACACACACACACACACACACACACACACACACACACACACACACACACACACACACACACACACACACACACACACACACACACACACACACACACACACACACACACACACACACACACACACACACACACACACAGAGCCAGTGGCGGACTGGCCATCGGGACGTTCGGGACGAATCCCATTGGGCCGGTACCAAAGTGGGCCGCCCGTCACTAGCCGTCTAAGTACGATATATATCTCAAATAATGTATGCACTGTCATTTCCCCACGTAAACACAACAGTCTGCAATGAAATAGTTGTCTCCTGTGCGCTTCACTTCCTCCTTGGTGCACCGGTAACTTTCTCAACAAAAAAAAGTGCGCACGAGTTAGTAAAAAAAAAAGTCAGGATAACGAGTTAGTATCTCGTGAGCACGAGAAACGTTCTCGTGCGCACGAGATACTAACTCGTTATCCTGACTTTTTTTTTTTCTCTCTCTGTTTTACATTTTTTTTTTACATGTCCCTTTAGGGACTCCGTAAGTGAAAAGTGAGTGAAAGTGAGGGTGTGCAACAACAACAAAAGTTTAGCACATTTTATAATATGCTATTTTTATGGATTAAACGAACAAGTTATAATTGTGTTAATCAGTTAGTTTTAGAGTTGTTGTTTAGTTGATTTTATTACTAATGGACAGCGCAACGTTTTCCCCCTGGTAACAGCCTTTGTGCTAAACTAACCTAATCCCATGCTGGCTGTAGGCCTATATCTTCTTATCACTAAAGCGAATAAAGGTATTTCCCAAAATATCCTTCAGTGATTCGGCTCAGTAGAAATCAAGATGTGTAGCAGAGTAAAATGATGAACAGCTGGTCTTAAAGAGAGTTAAGGAATTTGTTTGTCATGTGTTTGCTTTCATCCTGCCAGGGGAATACACCACAGACTGGCTGAGATTAGACATACTTCCTCTGCAGCATTTTTCACGGTGACTCCTGGGATTTTAGGATCTAAAAACATGCAAGTGATGTACAAAGACCTTTGCCCCGGCGGATCATCTGGAGACAACCAAAATAACCCATGCAAATCTAAAGACATACAGACATGAACCCTGTTTGGAACAGAACAGGCCATCACTGACGGGACTAGCAGTATTCAAGGAATGTCCTGATCCGGGACGCCTCAGGGAGGAGACTGAGGAAGCCCCCCCCTTCTCCTACTTTAATATATACACACATATGAGAGGATGATACATGTGACAGGCCATGTTCACATGTGAGAACAGATTACTCCTGACCTCATGTATTCAGAGGTGATGCATATTCTCAGGGACACCTTTCCCTTTTCATCTTCACATCTTCAACAGCCTGTCCTGTCTTTAGCTGTCTACGCTCTAAAGTTTTTACATGGTATCAAATTATTGTTGTACATGTGGTAAGCCACTGGCAAACTACCTGTTGTATCACATGACCTTTTCTTTCTTCTTGATACATCTATTTTGAAACAATGAGGTGATGTCACAGTTTGAGTTTTTTTTTAAAATGGTGTGCAACTTGATGATTATTGGGGTCAAGGGTTGTGCGACCCCTCAGGTCTCGGGCTGCTGTCTGTTTGACGGGGCAGGTAAAGCGAGGTTAATGAGTGGCAGTTAGAAATAAGTGATATGTGGCAGGAATGCATCACAATCACATACTTGTCGGTCAGCACTCAAGAGCCTGGGTGGTTTGTGGAGGCAATCTAAATGTCTCCCTTATTGTTTTAAACCAGTGATTTTCTACTTTAAATATGACAACAACCAACTTTATAATTATGGATTGAGAAAGAATACAACGTCCTGGTGTTAAAAAGGCTTATTATAAATACATGTATTAGTTTGAGGCTAATTAAAATGATCATTTTGTTGAGGGTGATGACAAGTGTTTACACATCATTATCATAATAATCAAAACATCCACTTTAAACTGCATGTATTGTATGCAAATAAGTCTTTAAAAGTTTGCATATTGCTCCTTTTTTGAATTTGGGGAACCAGTGTGGGCGGGGTCTGGGAGAAGACAAGAGGAGGAAGGCGGTGCTAACCTCTTCATATTCCCAAATGTCAATGAACTAGCCACAGCAAATTGAACCCTGAAGTGCATGGGCTGAGATAATTTGAGTGTAATGACTGCAGTTAAATCTAACGAGGCGTTTCAACACCATGAAAGAGAGATGAAAACTCAATTCTGCTGAGTTTGTTTTACTTCCGTAAGCGTTTGGCAGTAGATATTTATCGAAAAGGAACATGTTGGATTATTAACGACTGGATATATTTGGATCAAGCTGTTGAGTACGCCTTCTTACACGACAGGTGATTTTGTGTGAGAGTACAACAACCTCTCCAGGATGAGACTGTGGACTTTACTTGTCATTTTCCCGATGTGCGCATCCTCTCCTCTGCCAGCCGGTGAGTTTGAGACTTTTACGCACGTACTTTCTGAATGTGTTAAAAACAAGCATTGCCCGTGCTAATCTGGGGAAAGTTGTATCCACGTGCCTAACAGCATCATATGAGCAATAAAGGGAGTTGAGGAAAGCGGGAACTGAACATCGCAACATGCCCTATGTTCAACAGTAATTGTCTTTAACCTGACTCAAATGTTACTCTATTGAACGTCTTTTTTCCCCTTACAGAAGTGTCTAAATCAAAAGCTGTGGAGAGCCGCTGCTCCGGCCGAGCCTGTAACCCGCGCATGGGCAGCTTGGCGCAGGGCAGAGTCCTGAGCACCCAGTCGGTGTGCGGCTCCAACTCCTCGGAGCCCTACTGTGTCTACAGAGAGACTGCCTCCCCCCGGAGCAGGGAGTCATGCTCGCCAGCAAAATGCAGCAAGTGCAACTCCGCCATCCCCGGCCAGGCGCACCCTCCCTCCGCCATGAGCGACTCCTCGTTCCGCTTCCCGGACACCTGGTGGCAGTCTGCAGAGGGGGTGAAGGAGGAGATGCTCCATCTGGATCTGGAGACGGAATTCCTCCTCACCCATCTCATCCTGGTGTTCCGCTCCCCCCGCCCCGCTGCCATGGTGCTGGAGCGATCTCAAGACCATGGGCACACGTGGAGGGCCCTCAGGTACTTTGCCAGGGACTGCGAGGAGGTGTTTGGCCTAGCAGAGGGGTCGTCAGTAGGGGAGAGTGGAGCAACTTGCACCTCCAAGTATTCAGGAGCATTCCCTTGCACCAGAGGAGAGGTGAGTGCAGCACAGTGAGAGGTTTAGACGGGTTAGACACATTGCATGGGTTGGAAAGTGGTGTGACAGTGAGAATGAGAGGGGTATGGCAGGGGGCCATATACAAATAAATACTACTGCTGCACGTAACATAAAAAGAAGAAAGCAATAATAAAAAAGATGTTGTTTTACCGAGTAATAGGTACATCACTGGAAACAAACCATGATGTGCATTGTTGGTATTTTCTATGTCCTGCCTGCTTAAGTGCTTTTGACAGCTCAGGGGAAAAAAGGAGCTGGAAAATTACATTCCTTCACATCTTTACTTTAAACTTAGGATGCAAATCTAACCTGTAGATCCACCTCTTGGGAAGCATTGAACAAAAACACTGTTGGTGGTATTTCCATCCCAAAATCCATCACTTTTTCAAATGCATTATAAAGTAAGAATGCAGAGTTGTTTACAGTTCACTGGCCAATTATGTTTAGGGGTCGACTTGCAGTAGACAATGGTGTCTGATCCGTTAGATATACTTTAAATGACTGAAATTAATATTGCTTCTACATTTCTTTCCAATGTTGACCTCACTGAAAATGCTGCCAGAGATTCCCTCAGCACTTCTCAGCAACAACACTCACCATCTGCCCTGCTCTTGTTGTCAATTTATTGCCACATCGATTTACTTTAATCTGATATCACACAACACTGAACAAACACTAGCTTTATGAACTGACCTCCTCTGATACGTTCTTTTGTTAGGCCCGTTCTTTAAGCCACAAACTCTTTTGACATGCAAGGCTAAAAGGTAAATTCATCTTTACCTCTAATGCATTTTTGACGCTGCTGTACCACCACAGATGGTGTAAAAGCGAGACTCTCACTGGATACTAAAGATTTGTTTAGCTCCAAAGAGCCTCAGACCACGCTGGGAGGTTCTGGTTGAACGTCTGAATGAATGCTGTACTGTGTATGGCTTTGACTGATCTCATAATTGCAGTGTGTTTGCATCAAGTATGTGTCTTGCTACAGTATGTCAGCTCTCTTGTGTAAGCCTTTTTATAATTAGTGTCTCTGTTGCACAACAGACAAAGACATCACAAAATGTTGTGTGAAAATGTAGAGTTTGACATGAAGTAACCCTTCAGACATCGTATACTTAGCTTTAACTCTCTGCTTGCAGTAATGAGCTGAATGATACACATTCAGATTGGTAATTTGCAGTTATTTTAGGCTACAGTAAATCTTGTTGTTTACATCTGTAGGTACCACTTACCGTATGATGTCATTATACAACATATGTTTGTGCTATTGCAGAAGTATGTCTCTTGTGTATAATTCAAACAATGTAGGATGTATACATGGCACTGACTTGTCACAGTTCAATTTAATAGAATCAATTAAGGATAAAAAGCTATTGGTTTTTAATTCTTAAAAACTGTTTTCTTTTCTGCCTCTACTGAAACACAGGACTGCTGAGATTATTTATATTAAACCGGAGTTATTGAGTACATGGTTTGTCCACAGTGTATTTATACATATCCACATTTGCTTTCTGCTTTCGATTTGAATCCTTTAAAATTCCTAACTCAATCCTTATTGTGTGTCTGACAGTTTTTTCATTCCTGATGTTGCGATGAAGGGGTCATGTGCATATTTTCATAAACAGACGGAGAGAATGTATCTGAAAGATCAACATTCATCTAAACTTAACAAGATAGAACAAGAACCATTTGTCAATGTTTGGTTTGGAGCAAGTCTGATTTTTCTTAGAAGAGCTTTTTTTTTTACAAGCATGAAAGGCGAACCAGATTGATGCCTGTTTTTTATTATGCAGGCGGAGAAAAGAGAAACTGACATAATTTATGTTTAGTCATGGTCTGTCAGTGTCTCTAAGGTCAGCTGTTTCACATGTTGGAGAGGCTTGAACAAGTGGAGTAAAACAGATTTTGAGTTTTCTCTTTGCTTTAATCCCCAGGTGATCTACAGAGCGCTGTCTCCCTGGGACTCGCTGGACCCGTATGGACCCGCCGCCCAGGACCAGCTCATGATCACCAACCTGCGCGTCCGCCTGCTGCAGCGCCAGCAGTGTCTCTGCCAGGCCAAACACCCTGGAGCCGCCCTCCTCCCCACAGACCACTATGCCATCTATGATTTTATTGTCAAAGGCAGTTGTCTTTGCAATGGACACGCTGACCACTGTGTACCAGCCGAGGGCTACCAACCCACTAAACAGAAGACCAACAACATGGTGAGCCATTCTCAGCTGGATTATGGGAAAATACAGCATGCAGGTGCACAAAACTCAACCTGCTGCTCTGTTGTTAAAACTTACCGAGATATTTTGCTACCCTGACATCCGTCGGTGGTTTCATTTTGTCTCCATTTTATTTGTTTATGTGGTGAGATTGCGAGTCCAGGGTTAAGGGTTTTGTTCCCACCACTCCCTTGTTACTCAGCTGTGTGCTGGTATGTGCCACTGAAGCTGGAGGCTGCAGTGAAGCCTGGATATCAGGCCCCGGCTTTACCTACCATTACAGGGATTTAAGGATGTGGAAACCTTAATTATGGTATTCAGGCTAATGCTTAAACAACCAAAGTGTCGGTCGAGTTAGTCTCTTTACTGTAAATGGAAAATAGAAGCACTAGTTTAATTCCAACACAGTTTAATGGGGTGTAGACATGTTAACTGTAAATGTTGGTATGTTGAAACACTTAGAAGTATTACGCACATCACATTAGGGGCAAGGCTTCAGGAAATCAGGCTCAATGAAAAGAGTAATGCTGACTATAGACAAACAAATGAATCAAAATCAGTCAGATCCATGTCAAGCTTAAATGTTTTTAAAAGTTTATCACAGCTATATATTCATTTATAGGCTGATGAAAGACTCATGATTAACCATCCAACCTGCCCAGAGTAAAAAACACCTCAAACAATTGACAGTTAAAGAAAAACACATTGAAAACTCTTGAATCCCAAAGAATACAGTACAATATGAGACAGTGTAAAGTATGTTGCAATACTCTTTAGGTAGTGTCTCTGAAGCACATTAAAAACACTATGTGAATAGTTAAAAGATGGATGCCGATACAATGAAATAACCATGTTTCTGTGTGTGTTGTTTTCCTGGCAGGTCCATGGCAAGTGTGTGTGCAGACACAACACGGCCGGGCAGCACTGCGAGCGCTGCGCCCCGCTCTACAATGACCAGCCCTGGCAGGCTGCCAACGGCATCACAGGGACACCGCATGAGTGCCAGAGTGAGTGATGGGGACGGAGAGACAAATGCAGAGTAGGACACACAGCATGTAGACGTATCTCCAAGATGAATTTAGCCTCATAAATCAGAGGTTGCCTTTTAGACGCTCATGCATAACAGAGCCTCTATCTTTAATGTAAGCCCATGTAAAAGTTATCATTGATATCACTGGGGCTTGGAGAGGTCCGCCAAGCAAAGAAAAACATCCATGTGTTTAATTAAACATGTCCATCTCTTCCTAGAGTGCAAGTGTTATGGCCAGGCCAAGAGCTGTCACTTCAGTCGGGGATTGTGGTTGGCTACAGGACGGCGCAGTGGGGGGGTGTGTGACGACTGCCGCCACAACACAGAGGGCCGGCACTGCCAGAACTGTGCGAAGGGCTTCTTTAGAGACCCCAGCCGACCAAAAACTGCCCCTGACTCCTGCAAAGGTATGGCCCTTAAATATTTTTCTTCACAGTGTAGCCTTTTTTCTTCCTTAAAGCATAACTCTTCTGGATGAATGCCAGCAGAGAATTCCAATTAAGAAGGGGAGCTTTTGATATTTTGAAGGCAGTAATGGAGATTTGATTTTTCTTTTGACCCTTCAGATTAAAGCAGATTTATCTCTTGATAAGGGCATTTTCCCCCGGCACCTTTCTGAGTCACTGCCTTCCCAGTGATGAGATCGTAAGATGACTCTATTGCGCTCCTAAGCAGGAATGACGGAGACCGCACTGTCTTGGAATGTGACTGTAATTGCAAACAATGGAGGAATTTCCCATGGACCATGCGAGCACATTTCTCCCATTCTTGCCCTTTCCCCCCGCCAGGCATGCCGAAGCATTTTTAAGAACAAACAAGCCGTTTTTGGAAACAGATGAAGCAAGTCTGTAACAAAATCAATCTGTCATCACAAGGGACCATCAGGCGGCAGGCCGGACAGTGTGGAGTGGGAGTGATTTACTGTTTGTTTTTGCTGCATCTGCTTAAAGCATGTTGAATACACACTCGCAGCTTGCTGCTTGCAACCGGAGGATTATAAAATACAGTTAACCTGAAGAATGGCTAGATGTAGTTTATCCATAATGGAAAGAATTACCTTTTCTTTTTGCCTAAAAATGAATAGATTTACTAAGTTATCTGAATGCGTGTCCTTTATTGGACAGACACAACCACATTTTATAGAGAAACCGCTAACAATGAGCTGATGTCCAGTTCTACAAACAAAATAAAAGGTTGCTTGGTGTCCGTCACAAAGTATTGTACATTTTTGTGTCGATATTACAACTCTGTTACCATGCATCCCTCTGTTAATGTATAACGTTCACGAAAATTGTATAACATGCACATAAAAAGAGGATAATGAGAAGGAGAGGGTTTCAATTCAGACTGCCCCCTTATTGCACACCTTTATTACTCCCTGTAACTGCAAGTTTATTTTACTGGTGAAATGTTCTCAACTATCTTCTAAATACAAAAGAAAAACAATTGCCATGGGAGTTCACTGTGTACACTTTGAGTGTGTTTGTGCTTTCAAGTAGGCTCATCCTTTACATACATGGAAGCTCGTACGTACAGAGTGCCAGAAAAGGAGACGCATGTTTTGACCCACAAATGAAATGTTAACATGCTATTGTTCTCCTCTGCAGCCTGCTCCTGCCACCCTGTGGGCTCCGTCCTCTCTGGAGGTAGCACTCTGTGTAACCCTAGCAGCAGGGAGTGCACTTGTAAGCCCGGTGTCGGAGGCCCACGCTGTGACAGCTGCATGCTGGGATACTGGGGGCTCCATGAATACGGCTGCCGTCCATGTGACTGCACGGGGGATTGTGACCCCTACACCGGGGACTGCATTCCTGGGTGAGAGCCAAGACTTTAATACCATATCCATATGTATTGTACTTGGATTAATTGATGTATGGTGTAGAGGTGGAGTGCATTCTGGATGTTTAACACTGAGTGGAGCCCTGCCTCTGACTGGTTTTACCTCTGCGGCACAGTTCAGATGTGGAGGTCTTCTATACAGCCACCGGCCACATGGGACACAGCAGCAATAACAGTGAGACGGCACTCTTTTTGGTAGAGGAGCTTTTCTCTGCACTGCACCACTCTGGTGAGTCACAGGTCAAATCACCCGTAATGCACAGCATACTCATCAGCCCACACAGACACAATGCAGCTGCTTTGATCTTCAAATCCATACATTATGATGATCTCATTAATCATGTGTCATTTTTACAGAGAAATGTGAGTGTGTCGAAGTCACCCTGGGCAGCCCTAAACTCTTCTGTGCTGCGGAGTATGACTATGGTATGTGCTATATGACAAAGGAAGTAATTAAGAATTTAGATGGGGGAAGGGGGGTGAGACCTTTCAACTATATGAGTCTGGTTGTTTAAAACCCAAAAAATGTATCTAAAATAAAAGTTTAATTTTATATTTGTATTGTTTAGCATTCAGTGCCACTGTCAGTTCTAAAAAAACAGACGATAACAGAATACCAACCTAGAGGCTTCAAGGTAGCAACATGAAGGTAGCTCAAAAACCAAAATCCCTTTTATCTACGTCCACCTCTTGTTTACAGTCTACATTATCTCATCCTTATTGATCCAATCACAGAAACATTGATTTATATTAGTAGTTGTTGAAAACTATCCAGGGAACCTTTTATTTAAAGTTAGAAAAATCAAGCGTTGCTTCTCAAGGTCAAAATTGATGCGTGATCGATGCTGGATCATACAACTCTTATGTTGCAACTCTAGTTCATATTTTCCTTTGAATCTACCAGACTTACATCCTTTAGATTTAATGCCCCTTATCTAAAATGTGCAGGCTGTGAAAAATCAGCAGTCTCCATGACCAAAGTAGAAAAATGTCTGGCAGCGCTCCTTATGACTAATAAACTGATTTGGATGTGTACAATTGAGTTCCCCTTTAACCTTTTGATATGAGGAGTGAAAATTATATTTCGTACTTGTTAGACTGCCCATTTATTTATTTGTTTTTGTCTTGACAGTCCTGGTGGTGAAGGTAATGTCCGCTCACGATAAAGGCTCCCATGCAGAGGTGGAGGTCAAGGTCAAGAAGGTCTTGTACCAGAACCCTCAGATGAAGCTCCAGAGGGGAAGCGTCACCCTCTACCCGGAGTCCTGGACCACCCACGGCTGTACCTGTCCCCTCCTCAACCCAGGTCAGCTGCAGCCACTTCCAATAAAACACTTTTTGCTCAGAAAGCAGAAGCTTTGTGCCGAATAGAGGTTCTTTGTCTATGCTCATCAAGGGTTTGAGCGGGTGCCAACGTCCTTGCATCACTCATTTAGATTGGACAATTACAGTTTAAAGATTAGAGCCACCTCTCCCTTATGAGACTATTTCACATCTAACACTTTCACAATAATAATTTATGGCAACTATATCCAAGCCATCCACATCAGCAAAGTGTTTAACCATTTTTTAAAATAGTTTTACAATGTTGTGCCCTCTTTTTGCACAATGTGATTTTTATCCTGTTCAGTAGGGATGTAACGATATATCGCAGTAAATAAATGTCTCAATACCGTCGTATTACATTTAAAAAAAAAAAAAAAAAAAAACCTTTATTTAACCAGATGGTCCCATTGAGATCATCGATCTCTTTTTCAAGGGAGACCTGTCCAACATGGCAGCAAGTAGGTTACAACATGAACATAAAACAACAGATGACACAAAAGGACATCGTATTTACAGGGCTACATGTACATACCTAGAGACATTGACAAGTACCAACAGTATATTTATATCTCGCCCTGTCAATAAGCCTCACCTTCTTGGCAAAAACTGTATTGTTTTTGAAGTGGTGGAGAGACAATGCACAGTTTTACCCACTGCTGGCACCCATGGCCAAAGCATATCTCTCTGTCCCAGCAACATCAGTACCAAGCAAGAGAGTTTTTCCACAGCAGGGGTTAAAATTGTAAACGCCTAAACATCCCAGCTTCTACCTTGAAATGTGGACATGCTCATATTCCTAAAAGATAACCTTGATGATGCTGAGTGAGTGAGTTAGAGTTTAGTTACTTGAAAAACTAAAGTGAAACTTGATTTATTCTATTGCAGGGTCTGATTATTATTTTGTTGACACTTTAAAATACTACTATCCTACTAAAATGCTGTACAAATCAGATTTATTATTTAATAAAGAAAAAAAATTCAAGTAAAAAAAAAAAATTCACATTGTTTTCCCTTTTTATTTTTCAATATCGCGATACATATCGTACCGTGGACTTTTTATCGCGATATTATCGTACCGTAAGTTGTTGGTATCGTTACATCCCTACTTCAGTGTATCTTAGTTAAAGCTCATTAAAGCTCATACTCTGTCTCTCCTCCAGATTCTGAGTATGTAGTGGCTGGTCATGAGGACTGGAAGACGGGCCGACTGATGATCAACACAAAGAGCTTGGTTAAACCGTGGAAAGCAACCCTGGGACGCAAAATCCTCCACATCCTCGGAAAATACTGTGGCCGTCGGTAGAACTGCAGTGGGATGGAGACAGTGAGGATAATCTGCGACATACGGTGTGCAGAATGAACAGAGGGACTGTTCCAATTAGGCATTACTTTGACACTAAATAGAAAGCAAACAAAACCCCATGCCTACTACAGGGGGTTTCACAGTTTCTTCTGTTTCTAAAAGGGAGTTCAAAGCCCCGAGAAACAGCTACAACGCCAAAGTGCCTGTGGTAGAAATCAGCACATACCTCACCAGACTACAGTCAAAGAGAACAAAGCAAGCCATAAAGACTTTCACCTTAACAAAGACAACGTGTGTTATTACTGTATTATATTTTTCCAGGTTATTTAATTAACAGTAAGCGTGTTAAAAACTCAATTACACTTTATTTCTGGGCCAGTGTTGCTGTCAGAATTGACAAGTCAGTCATGCCCTCCTGTATCAATTCAATTTAGAGCTGTTTACTCTGATATCTTGCAAAGGCACGGACTGAATTATCTTTGTCGCCTCACTGTTATTGGCGATAAATCATGAATGAAGTCAACACCAGATTGTGTGTGGATGTGCTCGATGTCCTTGGCAGGAGTCTGGGACTGTGCAGGTCAGAACAAGTAAATCCTGGATGAGGGGAGAGGATGAAAAAACATTAAAGGAATCAGGCGGCTTAATCTGAGCGGCTCTGCTCTGGCAAACTTGCCCGCCTGCTGTCTGACAAGAGCGACACACACTCCGCTCCACCCTCTCCTGTCTGGAGTACATGCAGCCGGCTAACACTCTGGATTTAGTTTGCTCTCTCAGCAGCTTCGGTTACGAGAGTGTGTGATTGTCAGGTTGCTTCAGTCAGACTTGATTCTGTGAGGAATTTCTCCTCTCCTACTTCCATTTGAGGATTCACTTCAGATGGACTCTCTGAACCCTATCTGAACCAGTGTGTGTGTGTGAGAAAGAGAACACACACTCTTTAAGCATTTCTCCTCCTGTGACTTCCTCTGCTCCTAGATCAATGTGTATTAAAAGCCTGGGTATTCATTGACATCACAGTTCATCGGATGCAGAGTCCACAGGCCATTTTTTGAGCCAGGCCCAGTTAAGAATAGGTCGGGTCCGCTGTCTCCAAGGAGAAGGACAAACTCTGTGAGGAGACATGAAGCATTCCTCAAACATGACATCAACGCCCGTGTCCTTGTCCCAAAGACCTTACCAAAATAAGAGAAATGGGCTGGAGATTTCCTTGTAAAGGACAAAGTGGTGATTCAGGGGGCATGAATGTACTTTGCTGTTAATGTGATATTTGTAATGCTCTTCCTGTTTATTATATGTTCTTATTTTTTTCCTCTAAGCTGCATAAATAACACAGTGTGCTCATTCTTAATGCTTCTGGGAAAAAGTATGTTTACTTTCCATGACGACTTACAATTAAGCACAAGACAAGAAAATCTTGATGTAACTTACTGTAATATTTTTATGAGTACAAGTGGCTGACTGGTGTTTGACCCATGTTTTAGTACCGCCCTCCTTTGGTTAAAAGAGAGAAATACACCTCCTACAACATCAGATCTTGCTGGTTATGTAATTAAGCATGCTGCACTCTAAAGTACTTATAAATATGCAAACACAGTAATCGATTCAAGTTTGATAACAATTTATTTCTTATAAAAACTGCATTCAATTAAAATGGAGCAATGAAATATTTATATTTCCTCACATGGTAATGAAGCAAAACATTTTCAGGTGAGTTATTCGCCAAAACCTTTTTTGCATGTTTGTTTTGCATATATAACTTTTGCATATATCCTAAAAGCATCAAAATATGGCCTAAATGACAACACTACATTTCTTAAAGATATATGCCCTTTGTCTTTTGCTTCAATCATTCAAAAGTAACTACTATTAAGCTTCTACCAGGACCAAAATCGTTTCGCTCTTGCTTGAATAATGACTTAAAGGTACTAAAGCAGTGGTAATTTAGATCAGAGAAATATTGCATAATTGCGATCAGTCTGCAGAGGTTTCTTGTCTCCTCCTGCTTCTCCTTCAGGTTTGGCGCATGCTTAGTAGTCGTCCCCCCGGCTCACTACCTCCTTGCAGGTGGGCCTGAGTAGGATGGTGTGCTCGTACTGCGCCGTGTAGCTGCCCTTGATGTCGCAGAGCGGAGGGTACGGGTCTATGATGCCAAGGTCACACAGATTCTTCAACGCCATCAGGTACTTGCTCTCACCCAGGCGGTCCAGCCAGCGGCGGCAGAATGCCAGAGTGCCAAAGTTCTCATTGATCACATTCAGCAGATGTTTAGCCCTTGGAAGTCTGCGGCGCAGTAACAACACAGTCATTAGAGAGACAAGCCGGAGACTGGCTATTGATGTAAACCAGACTGTATGCTCAGTCTATTTAGTTAGAAATATGGATTAGAAGACAGAATATGAAATTAACCAAAACACTTTCTCAATTTTGTTTATATTAATACAGCAGAACCAACCTGATTGGTACATGTCCAACATTGAAGTTTTTCATATAATGCGAGCACTCCATGTCATCATGGACTGCACCTCTTCCTGTGCTGCCAAATGTCTCAATGGCGTACGCTTCACCTTCCTAGGAAGCAACAAAAAGAAAGGCAAAACACTTTATTTGGTAACATGTTGAACTAATATGAATGTCTATGTATCTATGCACTTTTATACAGGGCTGAGAGGGTATGATGTTGCAGAAAGGACAAAAAACCCCAGGGGACAGAGTAAATGTAATAAAAGCCTCAAGAAGCCAGAGGCTGACATATTCATGTGGAGTCTATTAAGAGCAGCAGTGTCCTGTGTGGCGCAGCGCCTCCTGTGAGTTGATTGACTCGGTTTCATTGGCGTTTCGTATCTCTATCAGCGCGTGGCTGTTGTCGGAGTCCCTGTGGTATTAGTTGATAACATTGCGACACCCTCTCTCGATGCACCGATAATCAGTCAAAGTGCCAGTGGCCCTGTGGCACGCCCAGCTGCCACTCTGTGCACAAAGAGGGTAAGGGCTCTGTTACACCAACACACTTCAGCTAAAAATACAACACGTAAAGCTGCCACATCAGCAGCAACCCCCTCCTGCAACCATCAGGTAAAATGCTTGACTCAGCGACTTGCCAATTAAAATGCTCAGTTCTCTCCAAATACTACTGCAGCTGTGCGAGTGTGAGGCAGGCGGTGATCGCAGTGTAGTCTGAGGAAATGTGAGATAGTGCAAAAGCATGTTTCTCCTTGATAGAGTTCGATAATGAACTCTAGATGCCCACGACTCTTGAGATGAAATAAGGGTTACGTGTTGCTACTCGATAAGGCTGGTAATTCCATTAAAGTTGTAATTAAAGTGCTGACTAGGGTGACTAAGAAGCTGTTAGAGCAGTGAGTTGGAACACTTCTCTTACATCCCACCGTCGTAACCCTAACCAGCCACATGTTCTTCCAATTACACTTCAGACTTAAAAAGGGTTTATTTATGTGCAAGGTCAAGCAGCTAATAAAGGTTTAATTTCACACACTCCAGCATAAAGGTTCTGCAGTGCTGTTTTCTGGTCACATCCACATTTGGCTCGAATGTAATCACATTTTGAGTGGGTTGTATTCACTGCTGCACAAACCTCCATCCTCGTGGCTTCTCCGCCTTTCACAATAGGGACCGTCTTCCCCGAGTGTATCCTGTACTGTCCGATAGAGTGGCCATTGAGATTCCTGATTGGCTTCACTAGAAAGAGAACAGCACCCAGAGGTTTAATAAATAGGAAGCAGCGCTGGACGTGTGCACGATAAAAGATGAACGACCTTGCGTTACCTTGATATGTTTTCCCATCTATCTCCACCTCGTAAGACTCCATGACCTCCTGAATGGTCTCACCGACATCGCACAGGCGCACATCAATCCCTGCAAACTGACAGAGAGGTGTTTACTCTCGCATCATTACACGTCGTCATTACAATGCTCACACAGTCAGTCTGGATAGTCAATGTGATGTGTCTTATTTATAGTTAGCGTGGAAACACTTAACAGTTTAGTACACAAACTCCCGAGACCCAAATGAGGAACCCTGCTAATACAAATGGTCATTCCTGAATACCTGAACATCAAGGACTAGATTAAAACATATGATAGTTTTAGGTATAGCCACTATGTTAATTAACTCTTATCTAATGATGATTTTCTAGAATGATTAACATAATGCATCATTCCTGAACTCTGAACCATGTAAATCAGGGGTGTCGAACTCAATTTCATCGCGGGCCACATTCACATAAAGGTTGCACTCAAAGGGCCGGTTTTAACTATATAAATATATAATATATATATATATATATCAAATAATGTATTATATTACATTATTGCCTCTGAATTTGATTAATATCGGATAGGAAAATAACTTAGTAATTAACTATGTCTGAAAGCAGAAGTCCAGGGCAAATAATTGCAAGTCTCTTCAGTGTACCCATGTCACAAAACGAGATGCATTGTGGGACATGTAGTTTATGGGCAACCTGCTTCTGTAAAGTGGCATGTAACCGTATAATAAACGTATTATATTCTTTGCAAGCTCTTGCGGGGCCACATAAAATGAAGTCGTGGGCCGGATTTGGCCCCCGGGCCTTGAGTTTGAGACCCCTGATGTAAATAGAGTCACAGGATTTTTTGCATTTCATGATTTATTACTTCTCTTCTCTTAGTTAATTAATTAAGGGTCTCAATACACTTTGTAGTTTCTGGTTGCATAAGCTGTACATTTTATCTCCTTTTCATTTTCAATATGGTATACATTGCCTACTCCAATTTTTTATAACTATCCAACTCCTTTAAAGGAAATGTATGTAGACTAGGGGATTGATTGATTTGTACACATTTATCATATTTTCAGTGTTTTTCATGCAATTTAATGTCTGTATTTATTCAGATAATCTACTAAATATACTGTACCTGATTTGTTCTTTATTATAACATTTTTACAGTCTTATCTTGACCAAAAATACCTTGTTGTTTACAGTATGTATAAGATCATTACAATTATTATATTGAACTTACTCTGCATTTTTGTGTCACATCAAGTCAGATTCAGAAACTTAGTTGTTACTGTGAATCCAGCATTAGAGCCAAATATACCCAAATACTCTATCATGGCATTATTTTATAGGTTTAACTGTTAGGAATGGGGAAGGATGAAGAGCTGTATCACCTTAATGCCGGTGTTAGTTGCGTCTCTCACAGCCTCCAGCAGCCTGTCAAACTTTGGATTAAAGATGACGGTGAAGGCACAGTCTATTATTCGACCTGAAAGACCAAAAACTTCAGTCAGTTCCAATGAGGTTATCACTCTGCAGGAAAATTCATCATGTCATGATCTAAAAAAAGTTAATTAACTTACAAGAACAGCACTTTCCAGGAAGAAATAATTATAATGTAATCATCATTTCACCGTTTCATAATAAAAGCCAAGTGTGAAATGGCACAGCAGAACTCCTAAAGCACTTAAAAAGTTATTAGCGAGCGCTTGCCGTTGATGTGCGTCCCAAAGTCGATTTTGCAGACGTCGTCGTAGCGCAGCACCGTGGGGTCTCCTGCGTTGGGGGTGTAGTGGGCAGCACAGTGGTTGATGGAGCAGCCGGTGGGGAAGGCCAGACCTGCCTTTAGCCCGTTTTCTTTGATGAGCGTCCTGGAGCAGTTCTCCAGCTTCTCACTGCCAGAAACAGAAATGGGGACAATGGAGGACAGAAACCATGAGACTGTTTTGAGGGCAGATAATGCATGCAGAAGAATAGGATGAAGCCATATAATAAATCATGCTTGCTTTGATGCATCTGCACTTTCTATTATATTATATTTTATTTTATTTACTTGCACTACTATTTTATCTGTTTTATTGTGTTGCACTGTTGGAGGAGCCTGTGACCTAAGATTGTCATTGTCATAACTACACTGTAGCTATGCACAAATGACAGCCTTGAAACATTTAAAACAGACTGGGACAAAGAAGCGCTGAAACCTGAATAAATTTCAAATCAAAGTTCATTTATGAAGCACTTTTCATACAGAAAGCATCAAGTGCTTCTAAATCCAAAAACATAAAAACACATATATTAACCCCACTTCCAAGGTTATAAACAGACTTTGTGAGTGTTCAAAACACTTAATACCAACATAAGTCGATAAACACAGGACTGAAAGAGCAATTATAAAATAAATAAATAAGAATAATTGGACTTAAAGCCAAATTAAAACGTCTCAACTGAGCCAAGGCAGGTATAAGCAGCCAACATTAAACTCCATTAAAAGGGGCTCAAGGTCAACGCTTCAGCACATATCTCACCAGATGTCAATCATGGTCATCCCTGGTTTGATCCAGCTATTAACATAGGAGCGGACCTGCCGATGCGCCTCGGCTGCCTCCCTGAAATCACTCCACATCTCCTCGTTGGCCATGTCCAGCGCCCGCTTCTCCTCACTGGTGGTCCGCCACGCTGCACTGCGCCTGGTGGGGGGTAGACAAGCACACCACAGAGAGGAGGAACTCATTATTTTCTCATTATACAAATACGGGTAATGAGAATACGACACACGACAGGTGAAAGTCATGTTGATACTTTGCAGATCTGACAAATGAGATAGCTCCAGAACAGGAGATTAAAGCACACACTGAACATTGCGCCTAATTACGCTGTCCAAACATGAAGGAGTGCAAAGCAGAGAGATCTAAATAAAAAAACTAGGCATGTCACACAGTGGAAGACTACTGCTGAGTGTGAGGGACGATGTGGAGGTCACACACCCGTCTTTCGATGGTGGATATTCACACTCTTCTCCCTTTGGAAAGTCTCCGCTGGGAAACAGCTCACAAATAGGGATTGAGGGAGGGTCAGTCTGTCCCTTCACTGTAACCCAGATAGTGAGAAGGAGAAGCAGAGGAAAGCAACCACAAAGAGAGAAAAGAAAATACAAGTTATCCTCCAAATGTTCATGACTTCTGCATTTCAACCTTGTGAGAGAATTCAGTGCAGCTCCTGGCTTACAGATCTAATCAAGCAAGGCACCCCTGAATAAAAGAAACCTATTTAATCATAAAGCGAGACAAATCTGTGGCAATATAAAAGCACTTGTGTCCTATAGTGGGTTATATGACATGTTACGGGGGTGACTTACTTCCAGTTTGCTCACTCCACATTCATTTCCTTCTGTCTGCCTGACATATGTAAGGTCCTTGTTTTGTCCTACACCTGCCCTCTCTGTCCTACTACATTATGTGTCTCTCATGACACTCATTTAAAAAGGTCAACCTGCTTTGATGCACCTGTTGTATTTACCTAATAGTTGAAAGTGATGTAGAAAAAACACAGAAGAGCTTTTGCTGTTAGTGTTATTTGTGTATCTATAACATGAGATGTAAACTGCAGTTTCAATTAAAATCCTGAATGTAGCTAATGTGAATTTGGTTCAAGCAGTCCTTGCCAATAAGCAACTGTAGCGAGAGATGCATTTGGTGCACTGAGAAGTAAAGGCTTACATCCTTTCTTCTTTTTCTTCTTCTTCTTCTTTTTTCCAGCTGAGTTCTCTCCTTCTTCCCCATCTGTTGAACGCATCATTAGTTTCAATACAGTTTTGCAACGTGAGAAATATCGACAGGAGCTTAGGCACAATCCCCAGTGTGCTACTGAAAATCAAATATCACATTGCAGATGAATTTCACTGAGCACGATCAGGGTCTTAAAGTTCAACACAATCTCCGCTGCAGATGATGAGGAAGATGATGGTGAGGAGGAGTTACCTTCTTCTCCATCCTCCTCCCTCTCTTTGTCCTCCAGTGACTGCTGCTCCATGTGTTTTGTCACATCCCCAACACTTCCAGCTTCTCCATCGCCCTCAGCTTCATTTGTCCCTGCTGCAAAGTCACACACATGTGCAGGTCAACACACACGTGAAGACCATCGGCAATCATGCACATGCATTAAGACACACACACACACACACACACACACACACACACACACACACACACACACACACACACACACACACACACACACACACACACACACACACACACACACACACACACACACACACACACACACACACACACACACACAGAGAGTAAGTAAATAATTTGTGCTTCAGAGTGATTTCAAAAAAGTGCATCCACAACTTGGCAGGGTCTGTGCATAATTTATTTCTTTACCCTGAGAGTCAATATCCTCAAGGGCATGTGTACCTTGCAGCATTATGACATTTAGCCCTTCAGAGACAGGGCTCTGTGGACAGCACTTGACTTATGGCAGGCTCAACAAACTTAGGTTCTCTCAGATTTTTCTTTTCATATCATGAGGCAGTAAAGCTGTGATTATCATCACGCTTTTTTTTGCATTTGAGTGGTTGTCATATTTTTGCACTAAAACTGTGGATATTATCATTTCATGCAGTTTAGGGGGATTTATAGGATGGAACATATTTAATCTGGAGTAAAATTACATTTGATTCCACCCATATCTTCAAATGACAGCTTTCACTCAGCTTTGATGGTAATTTCATATTTTACAGAGACTGTCCCATGTCTAGTTGAGTTGGGACAGCTGGACAGGAGTCCCATCTGACAGGTTGGAAAGTCTCCTGTCCCGCATATTTGATTTACTCGTACTCTTTACCGAGTGGCACTAGAGGAGACAATTTCTGCGCTATTTTCTCAAAGCATCTTCCAATCGCAAAGTGATGCCTCTCACCTGGTGCTGGGGTCTTATTCCTCTTCTTCTTTCTTCTCCTCTTCTTCACGGATTCTGACGCGTCTGCATCTTTTCTCTCCTCGTTCAGGTCGTCCCCATTGAGAAGTTGAGGCTCCACTTCACGCTGGAGCTGTAGCTCCGCCATGATCAGCGACTGAGAGGTGAAGTGACGCATAAACTGCTGAGAGCCTCCAGTGGTCAAAGCAGAAAAGTGTGCAGGAGGAAGCTGAGCCAATAATGAGCCATTAGACAATCTCCGCGCAACAACTTGACCCGAGTGGGAAGACGATCCTGCTCTGTCACGAAGAGCAAAAACTTTCATTTATCATCAGATTTTTTTTCTTCTTCCTGCAGGGGGAAATTACATTTTGGGACAGCAACACAATGTGCTCTGTGGAGGGTGAAATGCTTAGTTATGGAGCCATCATGCCCTGATAAATGGCATGTAAATTTAGCTGCACTGCCAGAATCATCACTTTGTCTAGCGCTGAGTTTCAGGTTACTGTCCGCACCTGCAGCTCCTCGACTTGTGTGTCACTTCTCCGTGTATCCTCAATGGAAAACAGCTTATTTTACTTGTCAATAATGTTTTTGGTTTTTGTTTTGTCACAGATTAACTTTCTGTTTGATGCCCGGAGTCGATTAATGGTGCGTATCGCGAGTATTTGGAGAGGCGTATAACTGTGTAACCAAGCAACAAGCCCAGCACAAAGAGTGGACTGAGGCACATTGACAGCAGTGGAGGTGGATTTTAAAGCACTACACTTATGGATTTTTGTGTACCTATTCTGCGTTTGACGATCATTTTAAGGACATTTAAGTGGATTTAAAAAAAAAAAATGACTTATTCTGTTGGGCTGACAGAATTCAGATGTGGCCCTTTGTACTTCTTTGACCAGGTGAGGACATTATTAATTTAGCTGACTACAGTTTATGAGAATCAGCAAGAAATTAACCTTGCAACTGATCTCTCCGCAGCCAACAAAACGAAACCGAATTAAAGGGGCACGAAGCAACATTTTTCATTTTAATTTGGCACGTGAAGAAGCAAGGTAATCAAAGTCCCTTATTGCTATGCGCAGTCTTTTAACCTTCTTCTTGTGCGATGAAATAATTTGTCTCATTTTTCCACAGTCATCCAGATGACAACACAGAAGGTAAAAGTGGTGAGCTCACTCAGAGGCTGTCAGGTGAAACATGTGGAGATGGTGAACCTGATACCTCTGTCGGTGCTGCACTCAACATAAAGGACCAGGATCCCATGGACGCATACCAGCGAGCAGCCCCTCTGATATTAAATGACCTGGCTCGCCTACTTTCACGACATAAGTGGACTGAGGAGGGCCGGATTCCTCACGGGATTGTAAATATTCTGAATTGCTCCTGGAAGGATCTGACTGCGGGGTCGGTGCACTTTAAAAGTCCGGAGCAGGCCGCCGAAATACGGCAGTCCAAAGGTTCCGGGAAACTGGATGAATCTCGATCCAGTCAAGTGTCCGCCGAAGACAAGACGGAGGCAGGAGGGAGAAACTCATGTGTTGTGGAAAATGGTGGTCCCTCTGTGAGAAAACCACAACTCAGCTCAAATCCACGCATGAAAAAGCGTAAACACAGTTCAAATAGAGGTAAACATATTTCTGGGTCCCTTCTATGGAAGCCCACCTCTGCCTGAAAAAAAAAACCTGTGGAAAAGTGAAATACCTAAAGAAACTCACTGTAAAAAGTATGGCGAGATACAGTACATCTCTACCACACTTAAGATAGCCAACAATAGATTGTTAACTCACTATAGAATATATGCTGCCTGTGTAATTAAAAAAGCATATTAACTTTGACATATTTAATATTTGTTTGAATAGTTTCTGTCCTGTGCATGAAAAGGGCTTAGCACAGTAATTCATCTTTAATAATGGTTAATAGATCATTTATTTAAGCCTTCATGATAAACCAGGTAAAAAAAAGCCTCCCTCCTAATCTGCTACGTAATTTGACATTTCTGAAAAATGGCTGCACAGCACCTGGACCAAAATCTATGCATTTGCATATGAATAACTAGTATAATTGGGCTATTAGAATCAAGAATACATTGATTAATTAAGGTAATATGTCATGTTAGTTCTGCAGGCATACATATTTGAAAGTAATTAATGATGGCTCTTCTTCCACTACATTTAGCTATAAGTGTCAATAAACAGTTTGACAAAGCAAGTAGGCTCTAAAAGGATATGCATATGCAACCTGGCAACCCAAGAGTATGTTTTACAAATGGCCTTTAATCTTTAATAAATGATTTATTAACACTCTGTTGTGCCTTTAGTTAAAGCCCAAACAGTTTATAAAATATGCATTATTAGAAAAATGCTAGTGTTGCAAAGGAACAATTGTGTAAAACTGAGACAAGTCAGAACAGACATAACTATATTTGGGGCTCTAATGTAAAGAGACAATAACAGTGAGAGTGAAAACCCATTAAGTAATATCTCATGACCTTTTAAAGACTGAATGTGAGGACAGCTTCGGTTGCAAGCTTGTGGAAGTGAGGGGATTAGTTTAACAGATAGGACAAGGTAGGTAAAGATGTACTGCTGTCTGTTAATCAGTTACAGAGCTATTGAGTTACAGTATTGAGTTCCTTCGTGCCACTGTTAGGGACTGAAGTATCGCCAGTATTGTCTTCACAGATTCAATGAAAAGGTTAATCAAACCTCAGCTGATAAACTGACTAAGATCTGTTTTTCCTCTGCAGCTCTCAGCTCCAGTACTGTCAGTTTCTCCATCTCATCCAACAGCTGCAGTAATCCAGGTGAGACATTGTGTTCATGAAGGCTGCTGTGTCTTTGGTCGTCTCTCTGCTGCCTCAACTGGATGTGATTTGTGTCCAGGTTGGATCATCCAGTCGAAGATGCCCTCCTGTGATGAGGCTCAGCAGATCCGTCTCTGTCAGTGGGTGGTGGAGCGACTCCAGGCCGCAAGAAGTCTCCAGTGAGTTGTTAACCTTTACTAATGCATACAGTAAACGTGTGCAAATGTGTGTCAAATGAGGGGTTACATATTCCATAATGTGATCTGATAATCAGATGTTTCCAGGGACAGCAATGTCAGTCAATCTGTCAGTCCAGACTGCAATATCTCAATTACTATTCAATGCACTTACACTGAGAGATATGATTCAACAACTCTGGTGATCATCTAACTTTTTATCTCACCTGCTGTTCAAAGTTTTTTATTAATCTAGTCACACGTCTTTACATTTATTAGATGGATTGGAACACACTTTGCAGAGATATTCTTGATTCCCAGATATGACCTTGCTAATTTCAACAACATGCAGGGGGTAAAGAGAACTATTACACATGCATGTCCCACTGAGGCTGGATTGTAATAACTTTGGTGTTTCCATGACTTATCTTGTGGCGCCCATAACGTTGCAATTGAACTTACTTCACAACCTTCTGACTAAAATCCTGCGCACATCCCACTCAGCTATTCTTTGCATTCAGTGCTAATTAGTGGATTAAAATGCCTTCTATCACGCTAACATAATTAACATGATGAACATTATACCTCTTATGTTAGCGTTTGTCTAAAAGTATAGCTAGAATATTCTAGCTTGGGCTGCTGTTTTGGTTTTTAATGATCTGTTGAGTTAATCCTTAATTTTTGGGAGCAATCCTTACTGTATTTTAAATGAAGTCATTATTTTTGCTATGTCCTACATGAGAGACCAGTTCTCAAACATTAAAATATCACCTCTTTTCATAGAAAACTACAAACTGAGCAGGACCTGAACAAGCCCCTCATTCTCTGTCATTATGGTGATGCTAAGGTCAAACTGAAGGACAGGAGGGCGAGGAGAAAGGTGCAGCCTGCTGCTCTTGTCAACGGGATGCCGCAGGTACCAGAAATGAAACCCATGGATCCATCACGGCAGAAACTACACTACAGGATCAACGACGGCTCCTCCTTCATATAGTATCCTTCTCTCGTCATGTTTATTCATAAGTTCCAGTAGTCGTACAAGAAAGGCATTGTGCAGCATATGGATAATGTGTCACTGCAGATTACCTTTTGACCCTTGACCTTGGGCTCTCAGCTACCCGTCTGGTTGTATTGCCGTATGCCAGAGTCGCTCAGGTTTGCTGTGTGGAGGCTTCTATACCAACGTGTTCAATGACAGCGAGTGTCCCGTTATTCTGGCGACTATCACAGCGTTCGGGAACGGGGCTGCGACAAACCCTCTAACGTGAGTTTGGTGTTGATATGTCAGACAGTCTGAGCAAATAAAACGGGTGCTCTGCTGAGAGTAAGTCAATAAAATGTCAGGATGATATCCTCTCTGGCTTTTCTTAGAGAGCTTCCGACATTTGAAAAAATGATCAGTTATCTTATGAATTTAGGATATGTAGCACCCATTGTTTATTATTGATGTTCTCATCTCGCTCCCCCAAAGAAAGCAACAAATGGCTTTTCTCCTAAATGCTGAAAGTCTTTAAACAGCCTTTCTATAACTATAACCATGTATGTGTTACGACTTTAACAATGTTTACACTTGTTCTCCAGCTCTGTCATTGCAGCAGTGTGGGACCAGGAAGGTGGATTCATATGTGACCAGCATGGGAAGATCACTAAGGAGTGGAGCTGTCAGAAAGACCGCACACTGAAGGAGAAGATTGATATTCAGGTGCAGCCAGTGAGCAAGAGTGACACAACCTCTGACATATTTAATAGTATAATAGATTATATCCATGTTCTTTGTGCAATGAACAAACAGCTACATGTTGTACAAAAACCAGGCCAAAGTTTATCTGCTGACATATGCTGATATGGTCAGTGACAAGAGTAGTTAAAGAACCTGACGTGTGAGACAATTGTAAGAAGTGCATTTGAGAAACTGCAAACAAACAGGGCATGAGAGGTATGACGCATGACCTACTGATGACTGAACAAACTTTCTCTGACAGGGGATAGGGGTTTTATAACAGTGTGCTTATTAGATAACAGTGAAATAATTATCACATTTTATGAGGGAAAACTTAAAATCAGTTTTTTTTTTGTCTCCTTCAGTTGTCAGATGTAATTTCTGTGAGGCTGCTCAGTGGTACCTCTGCCATGCTCAGCTTCAGGTGCAACAACGAAAGTGTTCAACTTCCTCTTTCTGTCCTGTCCAACCTTAACAAATCACGAGAAACGGTAAGATTAATGTTTAACAGATATTGGATTTATGATTAAACTCCTATCTGTAACGTCACCCGTGTATTAACAGACATGTTTGCAGACTGAAGAAAAGATGACCTCCGACTCTGCTCAAGACCTGTTGCTGTTGAGGAAGACAACAAACCCTGTTGTGGTCCTAGAGAGCAAGAGGAACCTGACGTTAACACCTGTAAGACACTTTCTATCCCCTGCAGACGCGTGTTACAACAATACCGAGGATCTATTTTGAAAAACCTTCATTGAGTCACTTTGTATAAAACAGCTGGCTAAATGCCTTTTGTTGTTCTATATATTCTAACCCACCATGCGAGTAATGATGTATGGCAGGTGTCAGTGTGCTCCCTGGAGGTGCTCCAGATGGTTGGAGAGGTGGAGGAGCTGGAGGAGCCGTCAGCACAGTGGAGAAGAGGAGGGCATGTTGGCAGGGAGCTGAAGAGGCTTCAGCAGAGAGTACGAAACACCCTGGACGGCTGGCTGGATTATTACCGTGTGGCCATAGGTTTGTACATTTATAGCTTTTATGAGAACAACATTGTGTTCTTACGCGAGTTATAAAACTATGCAGTGCAACAAAAGTCTCTTTGAGCCAATCTGATCCAAGCTAAGGTTGTTTAGGAGTGATTCAGTGAAGACAAAAGTTACAGTATCATCTCATCCTGCAAACTCAACATTATTGAATAGTTCCATCAGGATCCTGTTCACGGTCACTTGTGTCCACACTCGGTGTCTGTGTGCATTTCTGAGTGACCTCTTCCTCTCCTTCAGGTATCAAGTGTCCTGACATGAAACGGATGCCAGATGCCCCACTGAGGACCAGGCTGAGGAGGGAGGTGCAGTCAGCGACTCTGCCCTCTCTGAACCCACCTGATCGGGCAGACGCTAGAGCAGTGCGGCCAGAGGAGGACAGGAAAGAGTTACAGGAGCAACAAAGACATCTGTCCGCACCGGCAGAAAGACCTCCTCTAGACTGCTACGTCAAGCTGCCCAGGTGCACATTTAACATGAGAATATAGGACCAGAATGTTTGCCATTGGGACCACACTAACACTTTTAATTGTAAATGTACTTTATTTTACTGTTTCAAGCTGGAGCCATACTTGGTAGTTAAATGCTAAATATGGCTATGTTCAC